GAAGTAGGCTCACCTGGCAGTCCCTGGGACTCTGTATTCTCATGTTCAGGACATGAGCCCCTGGGTTCAAAGACCAAATAAAGTGGCATACATTGTCAGGTGCTGGGGGTTAGTGCTTCAGTATGTGAACCTTGAAGGAGACACGGGCTCAGAAAGGCTAACCTACTTATTTCAAAACAGTATCTCATTGTGTAGATAGCCCATAATTATGTTAACACTAAACCTTGTGTAGGTAGATCATGAGGCTTTTCCCAATGTTTGTAACTAACTCTGAGTACTTTAGGGTGTGTATCTGCCAGGATGAATGTGGAAGAATTGAAAGCATTGCCTTCTGAAGAGTTCAAAAATTATAACGAAGATCGCTCTTGAGCCTCAGACCTACACAAAGAACTATGTACAACTAAGGAATTCAGCGAGCAGGGGAGAAGGTCCCAGGGAAGAGCCAATTGTTATCCAACACCAGTGGTCAGCCCTAAAAACATACATATAAATGACACTATGCACACTGAGCAGGTTGTGTGCATATATTTAAGAATATATATGTATGAACATATATGCATGTAAAACTAACAAAAACAGAGGCCATGAATTTGAAGGAGGGGTATATGGGAAGGTTTGGAGGGAGGAAAGGGAAGGGCAAAATGATGTAATTATAATCTCAAAAAATAAAAGGAGTAAAGTAAAAATTGTAGTCCTTAGTCCTCTGTGATATGATGCTGGTAGTTCAGCATGTGGCCTGTGACGTTGGCCCCAGGACTGGGGTTGCTTGTGCTTTCGTCTGAGGGGTTTGCCGCCCAGTGACTTCGTTATCCATTACTCGTTCAGCTCCATTCAGTGAGGTAAGGGTGGATAGCACTGCTTGGTTTATTCTTTATTTTTATTTTAAAGAAAAGGCTTTAAAAAATAGGTTTACGCTCACAGCAAAACTGAATGGAAAACAGAAATGTTTTAAATACATTCCATTACTATGGAGGTGCATCTTCCTCACTGATGCTCAGCATCCTTCCATGGTGACCAGCATCCTCCCAGGGTCAGCTTTCCTAATGATACCACTATCTTCCCGTGACCACCATCCCCTCTTGGACAGCATCCCCCAGCACAGTGGCACGTTTGTTATATCTGATGAGTCCGTATCTTCCCTTTGTCTCCCACAGCTTTATATTTTATATTACTTTATATTACAGCTCAGTCTTGGTTTCATAAACCCCATGATTATTTGTTTTATAGGCCTGACTTGTTTGGCAAAAGGTGCATGCACTGTAGAGCCAGGAATGGGACAATAGCTTTCTCTCCAAGCTGTGACAGTCTGGAGTTAGGCCAGCTAGGAATTGTCTGAGATGAAGAACAGCATGCCAAAGTAATAAAACTCTGGAGGCAGGGCTGGATAAACCTATTTTATTCTAAGTTTTGTCTTCCCCAAAGTGGGGCCAGTCAGCACAGGTGGAGTAGGAATTTTCTGGAATACTAGTGTTCCTTTTACAGATACTGTTTTTGGTTTCCACCTGGTACATTTGTCAGAATTTAACTTAAGGCAATGTGTGCCTTTCCTTGTTTATTGGTATAGTTTGTTCTGAAGGGTAACTCTTGGTATAGTAGAGTTGAATATAGTATTGCTGAATTGCAACATTTTTTAGGATTTTTATACAATATGTACATGCATATAAATGTACATATGTTTGGGTTTTGGCAGTGCTGTGTTTAGACCTATGGCGTTGCACACGCTAGGCAAATTCTCTACCACTGGATCGTAGCACTATAAGAAAGAGTAAAGCTTGACAAATACAATGCATACATTGATATATGACTTTAATGAAAGAGTAGAATTAAGCCACTTGCTTCATTTTAGTATTTTCCATAATATTCTTTGTCACTGTTGAAACAAATTTAAATGTCTGTGCATATTTGTTTTTCCTTCTGTGGAAATAATAAATTTAACCATTGATTCTGCCGGTGGTACAGTTTATCTTAGCTTGAAGCTTTCTAGCTAGTTCTAAAATACTTGAGACAATCAGCCTGTAAAGGGAGGAAGCTTACCGGCTCCTGTTGCTTTGTGCCTGTGACAAGCAGCACATCATGACGAGAGCATATAACTAACAGGGAGCCAGGCCTCGTAGTATCTTTCTGTGTGACCCATCTTGCTTAAGCCCTGCTTTTAGGTCAGTGACCTCTTTGGGGGTCAAATGACCCTTTCACGGAATCACCTAAGACAATCACAAAACACAGCTATTCATGTTTCATAGCAGAAACGAAATTACAGTCAGGAAGTAGCAACAAAAATAATTCTGTGGTTGGGGGGGGGGGGTCTCGACAGCATGAGGAAATATATTAAAGGGTCACAGCATTAGGAAGGTTGAGAACCAACCACTGTCTTAGGTATGGTGCTGGGCCAGTCTTTTACCACGTGGGCATTTGGGCAATGCTTAAGGTTCAAACTATAGCAAACTGCTTCTGAAGGAGTTTTCTTTCCAAATAGGCTAATTATTTTGTCACATTTGATCTTGGAATGCAGCAAATCTAGTTATCTGAGACAACATGGTTTAAGGAAAAGCTACAAAAGATGAGGGAGAGCCGAGAGAGTCAAGCTGTTTTGGGGGCTGGAGAGAAGAGATGGTAGAAAGAGAGTAAGATCTGAACGCATATGTAGAAAGAGGTCAGTAAAATCAGAGATTAGGTATGGGGACCAAGTGGCCTGGGGGTGTAGCTCAGTTGGTAGAGTGCTTTGCCTGGCATGTACATGACCTTGGGCTCAAGCCTAGCACATATGATAGTTCATGCCTACAATTCCACTACCTGGGAGGAGCTTGAGGCCCAAACCAAACACAGCTAACAGGATGGATGAATTATAAAGGAAATGGCAGCTGTGTCGGATAAAAACACATGCAGTGTGCTAGTAGCACACAGTGTGATATGTTGGCTCAGGCCAAGGAGATCTGCTTCTTTTATAAAGTGGTGGCATGGTTTAGCCTTTTGAGGAAGATGGCGTGGAATGTTGCATGCAAGATACAGAGAAGACATCAAGAATTTGAGGCGATGTTACAGAAAGACAGAGGCTCTGACACTCGTGCTTTCATGACGTTTGTGAGGTGACCAGACTTCTGCGATCTATGACAGCATTGTAATTTGCTGCATTAGCTAGTATCTGTTATCTAGTCTCCTTGTACATGGTTTTATAATGTAGTCTTGTAACTGGTGCTTGTTTTAAAGCTTTGCAAAGTCCCAAACTTCCTGATCATATTAAGACTTAGATTCAATATAGATCAGTGTTCATACTCACATAGTTTGCAGTATACGGTAATTTCTTTTGTAGAAGCCTTGTTGGATCAAAGCTCCACCCTCGCATCAGGTGCATCTGAGGCATCTTCCAAATGGCCACAGCAGTATGTAAGGGACATGTAGCTTAAGACCTAGTCCCCAATAACGGGTGGCAGAGAGAATGTTGAGTTGGTAAGGTTCATGCTGTTCAAGCATGAGGAACTAATTTGATTTCTAGAGCCCACATAAAAAACTGGGTATGGCAACTGCCTCTGTAGTTCCAGCACTGTGGAGGCAGGAACAGGAGGGTTTTGCTGGCCAGCTCATCTAGGGGGAATTGATGTAAGACTCTGTCTTGAAAAATAAAGTAGAGACGTAACTTAGGAGCCACATCCCCTGCAGACTTCTGGCCTCTACATGCATGTGCTGCACACATGGTCATGTACTCTTAGTTGTTCAGCAGGAGTTCTGTGACCACGGAGCTCATGCGCCACTCATCAGCCTGGAAAGATTTGCTGAAGGGCATAAGACTGTGCATGTGGAAGAGGTACCTGTTTTTGGAGTTTCGGCTTCAGGCTCCCTTCTTCAATCACTCCCTTTCCCTCGCAGCATGTTCTAGGTGTCACAGTTCATCCTTAGACTCTGGATTTTGACATTTGTATTGTTGAGTCCAGCTTCTTGTTTTTCATCTTCTTCTTCTTTCATGTAATCCTTTTTCTTGTTCTTAGCTACTGATTTTGCTCTTAGCTGAACCCAGAACCTTTGTTTTCTCTTAAGTGTAATGGCTGTGTACTTCTGAGGAAATCCCTTTCCTGTTTATCCCTTTCCTGGCCATCTCACAAGCCATTAGTGCTCATCATTTGAGACAGTATTCAACTAGCTCTAGCAAAAGCTCTGCCATGCACCAGGCTCGTGTCCTGTGGTTATGAAGACCAAAAGAATAGTCAGCTTGTATCCTGGAAGGTCCACAAGCAAAATCCAGGGCAAATGTTTGTAAAGTAGTGGGTCTGAATAGGATGCCAACAGGTCTCCTATAATTTAGTTCAAATCTGACACTACCCAGGTTTGGTACAGTCTCACAAAAGTGTCCCAACTTCAGAGGCTGGTCATATCTGAACCTATGGTCTGCCTATCTGATTGGGTATAAACCTGAGTTTCTACCCTTTCCACCTACTGTTCAGTGATTTCCTAAAATCACTCACAGAGCTTAGGGAAAGCTCTGTACTATGTTTTCTTGCTTATCACAAAGGTTACAAACACATAGCAAAATGCACAGGATGAGGAGCCCCAGAGGGTGTCGACTGCAATAGTATCTGTCTCCATAGTGATGGGCACATCTTCTCAGTGTACATAGACATGCTTACTAACAAAGAAGTTCTGAATCCTACTGATGAGGGGTTTTGTAGAGATGCCATTGTGTATCACAACTGATTCAATCATCAGCCATTGGCCATTTAACTCAATCACTTATTCTCTCCCAAGAGGAGAGCAGGCAGCTAAAATTTCCAGCCTGCAATGTCCCATGGCTGACTTCTCCTGATAGGCAGACCCTATCCTAAAATGACCGAGGAGAGGGGCTTACCAAGACTCAGGCAGGGTTTAAAGGGGCTTATGAATACCAAGACACTCCTTATCCACCCTTGGGATTCTCACGGTTTCAGAGGCTCATGTTCCATGACCCTGAAAAACCTGTGTTTCTTGCTAAGTCACAAGAGCCCACTCTGACGAGATGTTTATGTCTTTCCTAGTTGGCCTCTTGCTGCGGATCTGCTGGCTGTTTCCTCTGCTGTGGCTGCTGCCCTAAGACCCGACAGTCGAGAACCACCCGCTTCATGTATTTACTCTACTTCATCCTGGTCATCGGCCTCTGCTGTGTGATGATGTCACCCTCTGTGACTAAGCAGATGAAGGAGCATGTAAGTTTGTGATTTTTGATAAGTTGGATGAGAAACTTAAGTCAGAGGACTGGGTTCAACCACACTGTGATTTGGGGTTTGTTACTTATCTATTGCTGTGATAAAACATGGTAACCAAGGCAATTTATTGAAGAAAAGGTTTACTCCAGCTTATGGTTCCAGAGAGATAAGAGTCCATCATGGTGGGTTGGGGTGACAGCAATGGTAGGCAAGGCAGCAGGAAGTTGAGAGCTCACATCTTGAGCCATAGCACAGAGAGAATAGAGTGGAAGTAGGCAAGGCTTTTTAATTAGCCTGCTTCCCCACCCCCTGTGACATGCTTCCTCTAAGGATGCCCCACCTAAGTCTCCCCAAATAGTACCACCAACCAAGTGGGAGACCCAGTGCTCAAATGCCTAAGGCTGTGGGGGACATTTCTCATTCAAAACACTAAACCTAGCCTCTGAATCTTCTCAAGCTTGTCCACTGCTTTCAGGCCAAGCAGACATTCAACAGCCTGATCTTTAATCAGCTGATTAGTGTTTGGTCTGATGTATGGGTATGTGTTGTGTATGCATGATCCACAGGTGTGCGCATGGAGGCTGGAGGAGAACAACAGGCGCTCTACTCATCACTTTCTACCTTGTTCCTCTGAGACCAGGTCTCTCGCTAAACCTAGAGCTAGATTGGTGGTTGGAGGTCAGCAAACCTCAGTGATACTCTTCTCCATCCCCACAGCTCTCAGGCTGCAAGCATGTGTGGGCATGATCAGCTTTTTACATAGGTGCTAGGATCCAAGATCTAAATTTTCATGCTCAGGCAGCAAGCCTGAGCCACTGTGCTTAGCCCCTGGGCCATCTTTCCAGCCCTGGGAGCTTTATCCCTAATAAAGCAGCCATAGCTGCTGTTAGCGGAGAATGTTGATGTCAGAGGGTGTATTTGGTTTCCGCTTTGTTTATGGCTGTCTCTGATAGAAACAGAGTCTCTGTTTGTAAAACTCTGCACATCTCTTTGTCAGAAGGCTGGCTGCTGGTATTTCAAGTCTCAGCTTGTTATAAACACTTAGTCTAGCCTTTATGGAAAGGATGATGCAGCTTGGATAGCACCACAGATACCAGGAGAGAGTCTGTGATGATTTTAACTTTTCTAGACAGGTCACTTGTTGAGGGCTGTCTCTGGGAGTGAGGGGACAGCTATTTCTTGGGCAGTGTGTACTCAGGGATGCCTGGCGTGTGATGTTTATGGAGATGTTTGTAGGGTCCTTTCCTGTTCCTCCACAGTAGTCCTTTCGATGAGCTGTATTAGAGTCCAGAGTGTGGGAGTCTCAAGAAAGCCCAGCAAACAGCATGACTCTTCCTGTCCTAGGTTTTGAAAGAAAAGACGAAAATGTCAGCAAGTAGAAGCCAGATATTCTGTGTATGAACCTAACAAGTCACGTGTAACCATTCAGTTTGCATTTGTAGTAAGCTGGGCTTCCTCCTGTGCTCCTAAGCCAGTCGGCTTTACTCACCTGTGGTCCATTGACATAGTTCACGACAGATTTCCTCCACTAGGGCTCAGCTGGGCAGAAGAGAGGGCAGCAGCTCTCATCCCAGGGGTAGTGGTGGATGGGAGCTTAGCCATCCAAGCCCATTTCCCTTTAAATTACCACTCAGCCCTTCATCCTCCCAAGGAGGCAGTGAGGTGGCAGAGAAGCCAGGCCTGTAATTGGTTCTGTATCCCTTTAGAGTGGTGATGGCCTCAGCTGGAGCAGCTCCTAATCAAACCCTGTGCTACACTGTGGTCATTTTAAATATGCTCTGCTTTAAAACAACCATTTTCTTCTCCCATCTCTCCATGCTGGAAATGGAACCTTTGGTTCTGGCATGCACTAGGCAATTCTTCTACTGTTGACATACATCCCAGCCCAACAACCATTTCCTTAACAGGCCCTTGGTTTATTTTTATCCTATCCTTTAGTTAGAATAGGCCCACCGAGCTTCCAGTTGGGTAATGCATTCATTTTTAATTGTAATTGTGTGCTTTTGATTAGAGAGTAAACTGCTGTAAAGCTTCCAATTAAGGCCCCACAGTGGAAGACATGGTATGTTTATATGAGAATGAAGTTTGCCACTCAGAAAAAAAGATGGAACATTTTCTGAGGCCTAAAACAAGGTAGAAAGTAAGAGGTTCTATGTGGAAAGATACTGTGGCGGTCTGGAGCAAAGAGACTAAGGACTTGGCTGCCTTGACGGGGTCTATGCCAGCCTTGCTTTGTGCTGATTGGTCGATAGATTTACCACCTAGTCCCTGTTGGCATTGGGGTTTAACCTGCTGTGCTTGGGGAAAGAAGTGTGAACCTATAGGGCTGGGAATATGGCTCAGCAGTTAGGAACACGTACTGGGCTGGCAGGGGACCAGTTCCCAGCACCCACCTCATCTAGCTCTCAAGGAGCTCGAGCTCCAGGGGATCTGGCACCCTCTTCTGGCCTCTGCAGGTGCCTGCATTCACATTCATGCCCCTCCCCTGAGACAGGCTCAGCAAGCCCTCTGCCACTGAGCTACCCCCAGCCCTCCATAGACGACTTTTATTTTTCCGGCAGTGTAATACTCTTTCTAACTGTCCTGAGCAGCTGTCTGATGACCCACCGCGGCCCTGTGGTGAGAGTTCTGTGTCTCAGCTGCTCTTAAGTTTTCGGTACAAGTAGAATGAAAGCCTTAGGTCCAAGCGGAAAAAAACCCCAGAACTGTAGGTATGCTATTAACGTGACGTCTCTTGGTGTGAAGCACTGCAGTTGCAGTTGTATAGGTAATTTAGAAGCCAGAGCTGTGTGCTTGAAGCATACATTTCATAATAATTTACACATCCGATTCCCATGCGTACCCTGCGCCTCCTGCTCCTAACATCCACTTCCACATCTGTGCTTCCTGACTGCTGACAGGACTTTCAAAAGGAAGATGTTGACTGGTGTTGCCCAGGAAGGCTTCATGAAGGAAGTGGTGTATATACATAATAAGTATTTTAGGAGCTGGTTTTTATAGGCTAATACCATATGCCAGATTTTAGTTTGAGCATTTTGCTTGTTGTCATCCTTCATTACCACCGTTCTTGTGTATACACTTGTGCTGTAGTTATCCCACAGGTGAGGAAGCAATTAGTCACGTAACTAGTTTATGCCAGGCCTTACAGCCACCTAGAGGCAAAGTTGGCATTTGAGGTGGTCAGAATATATGCTTAACCACTGGACTGTGTAGCTAAATCGCAGAGAAGGAGCAAGGACGAGGCATGTGCGGAGGGACAGGAAAAAGACGGTGGGTCACATTCCAGATTTCCACAGGAATTTCAGTTTTAAGAAAGGGTGTTTGGTCCATGGATAAAGGTGGAGCCATTGTGGATTCCCAAGCGTGTGGTGGTCATGGAGCAGGGAGGGACTGAGGGAAGTGAGTTCACTGGGGTGACTTGGGACCAGAGATCAGATGGAGGGGGAAGAGGAGAAGGAGGGAGAGGAGGTGTACCCCGAGCGTCTTACAGGGTGTGTGTGAATGCTTCATGCTGCCTCTGAATGTACCTATTTAAAAATGGTTTGGCCAGGCTTCCTGCATAGAGAGTGAGGTCACTCTGGGTAAAACAAATCCTTTTGCCTTCACGGGGTTCTGCTCTCTGGCCACAAAGTCAGCTTGTTCTGTGGTGCTAGAATTAGACTGACCTCATGCTCAGGCGGTGCTTGAGGGTGGGTCCTGAAAGGTCTCCTTGTAGTGCACAGGCTGGCCTTCTGCTGGCCCTGGCCTGCTTTGTTGGTCTGTAGGAATGCTAGAGGTGGCAGTGGCAGAGGAAACAAAACGGCAGGCTTCTGGCCTGGATGGGGTGTGTCATTGCCTCCCACCCTCCATTCTTGCCTCTAAGCTAGGGCCCTGTCGGTATCACATGGCCTGTGGTGTGTGGGCTGAGAACAGGAGAGCCTCTTTCTGGTTTAAGAATGCTGCCTGTGTATCTCAGTGAGAAGGGACTGCAAAGAGATGCTGAGGCAACTTGGTCCTGCTTTTCATGAGGGAAACCCCCTTTTCCACAAGACTGATGGCTCAGAGAAGGGTCTCCTGTGTGGTTGAGTCATAGCATGTTGTTTCTGTCTTCCTGGAGCCTTTGTTTGCATATCAGAATGCAGGAGCCATTTTAAGCAGGCTGTTCTTGCCAGTCACCATGGCAGTTAAGCAAGGACAGAACTTGGGCTATTTGATGCCTGGGGCCTTTAGTAGACATTAGAATGTAGACCATGAGAGGAACAGCAGGTGAAAGAGTAAGGGCTCCAGATTTGTACTGATAAATCAAGATCTGGTCTGGAGATTAAAGGAGTCTGTTGAGTTCCCCAGAAGCTGGTTATTTGGGAGGGAGGACAAAGGGAGGTTTTTGTATGCTAAGGCCAGCCACCCCCCCCCCGGCTCACTGCCCAGTGTGGACAGAGCCTTCAGTGCTCCAGTCCTTACACATCTCAGGTTCATACTCTCCCTGTGTTCCAACCAGTGACTGCATTGCTCTGATTGATGGGGTCTGACATGGTGCATTTAAAATTTTCAAAACCCAAATATATCATAAACAGTGTTGTGAACTCATTTCTTTGGTGTATGGAGTGTGGAACATGATGTCGTAATATGTTTGTTTCAATTTTAAATTGTAAAGAAGTATTCATTTTGTTGTAAAGAGAGTCTGCTACAACCTCTGTTGTCTTTCTGTTGTTCCCTCCTCCTTTTTAGAAGGTGTTATGCTTGCCTGTACCATCTGATCTCTGCAGACATTTTATTTTGCACATTATTTCCCAGAAGTGAGTCTAGATAGTTCTGAGTGGCAACTTAAGGGCTTTGACTAGTTTCTTTTTCTGAGTAAAAAAGGCTTTGTGCTTGTTTTCAGCACAGGTTGGTAACACTGTGGTATATGGCTCGCCTCCAAGGAACACAGGACAAGACCAAGTGGCATCTGGGTGTGAGGGGCTTCCGCCCATGGCTCTATGGGTTAGTAAAGCCACATCTCAGTCCCTATTCTTCCTGGC